TTGTTGGTATTCTGTGTGAGGCGACACAAAGCTGCAGTAATTAGGCATTGTGCTGACTTCACATAAAAACAGGAAGCAGCAGCAACAACAACTTGGAGGTTTTCAAATTAAAAGTTTTAAACTGAAGTTTAAGAATTTGATCACATAGAAGGAGCTGTTCCATCTTGTCTGAACGTCGTCATGGAGACGGTTTGTGTTCACTTCTTACAGTTCAGTCTGAACGTCTTCAAAGTGAGACTTTGCGAGCTGAGAATCTGAAAAAAGTGCTGACGTGGATCAGCTCGGTCTGTCCGATATCTGATACGTAAATGATGTCATTATCGGACCAGATGCTGACAATAGATCTGATCTGTCCCATCTCTATCTCAAACATCTAGAAACAACCTGGAGTTTTGAGGACTCCTTTGTCACTATATACCTGAATATTTATCAAGGTAGATTCCAGCATTGCTTGATTTTGTCAGAGCATTTCTTAGTCGGGACTTTAGAGCTCGAGTGGAGAGTTTTTATCTGAAAGTGAAACAGACTGATGTTAATACTGATGCCTCGTATGAGCTTCATAAACAAACCAGACATTCAGAGAGAAGATTATTCCTTTCTTTGTTTCTTTTTTTATCTGTTTTTTTGTTTTTTTAAGATTCATTTTTGGCCCTTTTGTGCCTTTAATGGAGAGATAGGAGAGTGGATAGAGCTATTAGGAGAGAGAGAGTGGGGAACGACATGCAGGAAAGGAGCCACAGGTTGGATTCGAACCTCGGCTACAGGCACCATACATGGGGCGCGCGCACGAACCACTGCACCACCAGCGCCACCCATTTTTAATTTTTTTAATCTGTAGTTACTTTATTCATCTGACACGTTTGATGGGGGGGGTGGGGGGTACATGTCAGATGAAGTGATCAACAGCAGAAACAATCTTTTGAAATGTCCCATACCTTAGCTGAAGATCGATGAGATTCTGTTTCAATCAGAAAACATGTGTTTGGTCTGAACCTAGGTTGAGCACGTATTAGATACCTTTTCATATCACGTATTTGACAACGATACAATCTCAGTGATTTAAATGGTCGATTGTATAAAGATTGTTGAGTCTTATTTTTAACCAAAAGTTGCTGCGAGCGAGAGAGATGGAGAAGCAGCTGTGGTCCATTCAAATTCACAGGACAGCAAATACTCCAAATGCCGACCTTTTTACAGTCTTTTTTTTCTCTCATAAAGATCAAAAATGTACGTCTCTTGTAGGTGTGTCTCTTACAAATCATTTCAAGAATACCTACACACTTAATCTTAATGAAGATGACGATATTTAAAATGGTTTTGATGCTGATTAGAACTCTGAAGAGCAGCTGTCGATGTTGTGCTTTGCTTCTGGTCACTTCCTGTCAGCACCTCTGGTCACTTCCTGTCGTTGTCTCCTCCCCTCTTGATCCTCGCTTGTGTTGTTCTTACTCTCTGATGTGAGACTCTTTGGATAAGAGCGTCTGATAAATAAATTATAGAATCGTACAAACAGACAGAGAGCAGAGGAGGAGACTCTGTCTAAGTTGCACAAAAGCATTGGAACGATCAATACTTAAAAAACACTGTCTGTGTGCGTGTGCGTGTGCGTGTGCGTGTGCGTGTGCGTGTGCGTGTGTGTGTGTGTGTGTAGCTCAGACAGGTCTTCGAGCATGTGTCTCAGCAGAGTGACGGTCACTATCAGAGGATCCTGACCAGTCTCGCTGAAATCGCCACGACCAACGGACACAAACTGCTCAGGTAGGATGTCACATTTCTGCTTTCTTTTTCTCTTCTTTATAAAAATGAATAACATGAAGCTGACTGCAGCAGCTCACAGGAATGATCCCCGCCCGCCCCGCCCCCCCCGCCCGCCCCGCCCCGACCTCTGTCCCTGAAATCTCTGCACACAACAATCACAAATGTCTACAGCTTCCATTTCCTGCGTCCCTGCACTGCCTCGTGTGTGTCTCAACTTTAATGTTGTCGCTTTAATCGCTGATTTTCAAATAGTTGAAGGTATAATTTCCCCGTCCCTCCTCAGCCTGTCCAGCAGTTTCGAGGCACAGATGAAGAGTCTGCTGAGAATCGTTCGTATTTTCTGCCACGTGTTTCGCCTGGGGCCGTCGTCCCCGAGCAACGGCAACGACATGGGCTACAACGGCAACAAGACGCCTCGCAGCCAGGTCTTTAAGGTCAGTATATAAACACCTGAAGGCGTGTTATGAAGCTCTGAGGACGCTGCTTTAGAGGTAGGGATGTTTTTGTGCTGTTTGGAAATTTGTGAGTTCATCATTCACGCTCAAAAAATTCATTTCTCAAACCAAAACCATGTGTAAAACTTTGATTTGATCTTTGAGGAACATGAAATCATATCTGTTAAATCTGAGTCGACGTCGACTTCATTCATCCCTCAGAAGAGCAGGATCTGTTTTTATAACGACAGCGCTCTCAGTGACATCACAGCACTTCTTCCTGTGCGCTGCATGTAAAGGAATTAAAATCTGCTTATGTCAGTAAAACTGTAAAATCCTGATTGTTAATGGACACTGCGCCTTTAAAAATCAACAAAGTGTCATAAAACATAAAATCCTCAAACAACAGTGAACCAATATTTATTTTATAAACTGAATCAAAACTGATAATCACCAATAAAACTTTAAAATCACTAATCTGCCGGCATCACATCCGTGTTTTTTTTTACTGTGATGTATTTTATTAGAGCGATTTGTTACCTCTCGTTTATGATATTAATTTATACCGACAGTGCTGAACAACTTATAACTTTAAAGGAAGAAATGGGGGGGGGGGGATTTCCCGAGGTAAGACATACTGACGAACAGAATGCAGACGTTTAATTACGTGCACGGAGATCGTAGTGGTCGCGGGGCAGACACTTTAAGCAGTCACTATATAAACGTCATTCTCTTTCTATTGGCTCAAGTTGAAATCTTCGGAGTATCTTCGGCCGTGTTCAGACATCAGCTCACTCAGATATTCTGCAGATAAAATACTAGGGGTAGAGTCCGCGCAAAACGCGTCTGTTTGCGTTCACACATAGCCTAAAGAACCTCCGGGTAGCCAAATCTCCGGAGTGTTTCAGGAGATTTCTGTATGTGTGAAAAGGGTTCAAGACAAATTATTCTGAGAGAACAGACAAGTCTATGTAATTAGCATGCTAATAAGCAACATGACCTGTATTTAAAGTGTTACCAAACTTTAAACTTCTTTTTCAACAGAATCATTAAAAACACAACGTCCTCAGACCAAAGTGTGGATGACTGCGTTATTATGTCTTTTTAATTTTTAACCTCACATGATTTAACACGATGACGTCATCAAAGAACATACAACACAGCAAAGCTAAAGACAAAACAATCTCTGCTTTCGGAGGCCTACACTACTAGAGTTTAAAAAATACTTGATGCTTTATCCTGAGATGTTTGATGAGAACAGTTTGCACATGAAGACGTATCAGCCTGTATGCATGATTCCCTGCAGTGAGATAACTGGTTGTGATTCCGTTGGTTGCAGATGTGTGTGTCACAGAAGGAGGTTAAGATGGTCCAAAAAGACGACTGTCCCTGGGCAGGTTCTGCCTTCCTAGATGTGAGCTTATAGACATTTTTAAGATTTGCAGTGAATCAAAAAAAAAATACTTCTGTATGTAAAGTACAGACGGGTGACAAATCAAAGTGAGGGGATCTGGAGGTTGTGTTAAGATCTCAGCACAGCAGAACACCGGTGATAGAATTTGGAAAGGACAGCGATCTCCACCTCCAACATTTAAAACACCAAATTGAGGGAGTGTAAATGTTCTATTTGTGTGTCTATCCCTCAGCTGGAGTCCAGAGACGAGTAGAATCAATGCTGAGGAACACTAAAGTAGTTTATGTTGTTTTTTCCTTTAATTTGTCACCCGTCTGTTCATGGACATGTTGGGATTTGGGAAATATGATCTCTGGAGCCCCTCTGCAATCTTTCCTTTACATTTATTTCAACTTCTTCTAATTAATCAATACTGGGGCGCTTTAGATGGACCTGGATCTAAACAGTTCTGTTAAAATGTTACCTACTGTTTAAAGATGTTGTTATCTACAGCAAGATGCTCCTGTTTTGGAAGTGTTTGATTTAAGTTTCCCTTCAAAGGTCACATATCTAAAATCCATGTTCCTCCAATTCTAACATGTGTCTCTAGTCCATCTGTAAACCCCCCAATGATGAGAAAAGTCCATCCTCTCTGTCTTCTGCCTGCTCCACTTTTCAGAAAATGTGTACTCAAACAGGCTGTTTGGAGATTTTCCCTTTATGACATCACAAAGGGCAGTAGCCCCTCCCCCAGGTGGGTGACACTCCCACAGCTAGGTGTTTGTTCTGCCCTCTGAGTCTGCCTTCTCACCGTAAACAATGGGACATGGAGCGAGAAAGCACCGAGTACACCCAAGCTCTTCCAGAGAGGGGGCGTGGTCAGACACAGCTCATTTACATATTTAAAGGTACAGACACAGAAACAGCCTGTTCTGAGCAGGGCTGAAATAGAGGGGTTTATAGACATGATCAAATACAGGATCAGAGTGGATTTAGAACAAGAAACTTCACACACATGTTTTGTGGAGCTCTGAGACTTATTTACACTGAAGAAGAGGGGAGAATATGTGACCTTTAAATTAACCCCACTCTAAATCCTCCACTGTTTTATGGTCTATGTGACTCTAAATGGGTCCATCATTTACTAAATGAAAATCCTTCAGTATAGAAGGAAACATGAAACTAAAGATTGAGAAAACAAAACGTGTTTTCTTTAAAGCCTTCTCTCTCTAGCTTCTGTTTCAACTCAAATGTTATTTTTCACTATTACAAGCTGTGCAAACGATATTTTACTTATCTTTAGTCTAAAGACAAGGAAGCAAAATATATCTGGAAATCTCAAAAAATAAATCCTGTTTAAGCAAACATCTGGGCTGCTGCTAACTTACTGTTTGAAACAAAATAATACCATATGATACAGCAGAGCGCACTGATGCATTTCAGCACAATGTGTTTGATACGATACAATAGACTGAGATACCAAACAATATCAAACGTTACATTTTACGATACATTACAGTAAGGGTCATTAATCGCTGTATTTTAGTAGTTAATCGTGGTTAATCTAATTTTTAGCCGCATGTTTGAGATTTCATTATTTTGCGTTTAAAATGTTTTGTTAGGCTTTTATTTTGAAATTGAAATCAAACATTTGACTTTTTAACTTTCCTCTTTTGCTGTTTTCATCAAGTTTCGTAATGAGTTCCTTTTTCCCGTTGTTGATTTAATGTGATAACCTTTGATCAACCGGAAGTTCCTTAATTTCAAAATAAAAGCAGGGTTCTATTCAAACAGGAAGTAAGACCCTCGATCTAAAGACAGTACAAAAGTTAAAAAAAAAATTAAAATCCAAAATAATGGAATTTCACACATGCAGTTAAAAATCTGATAAATTGCAATGATCAATTCAGAGATTATATGTGATTTAAAAAACAAATCTTCCAGTTAAATTAATTCTGAAACATCAAATTGTACAAAAGGATAGATTGATATTTAACTGATGCGTGAGATACGATTTTAATTCAATTCCTTAAAACACTTTTAAAGACTCCTTTTAAAGCGACTTCATCATTTTTAATTTCCCGTTATTTTCTCTTTACATTTCAGCCCTTCTGATTTCTTTTTATTCCCTCATAACCTTCATTTCTCTTTCACTGCTCTTTGGGCTTTTATTTTCTATTCTCTGTTTTCACTGCTTCTATTGTTTGTGTTCATTTCACTGTTTTTATGTTTTTACTGCTTATTCATTTAATGCTTCATTTGTCTATTATCTTATTTCATAGCTTTTTCCCGTCTATAATGTTTCATCTCCTCTTATTGTTGTACTTCCTGTTGTTTTCATCTTGCCTTATTGTTGTACTTCCTGTTGTTTTCATCTCTTTTGATTACTCATATCTTCTCACACTTCTGGTCCTCCTGGTCTTAAAGTCTGTAGCTTGCTTTCTGCGTTGCTCTGATGATGTTTTGGGGTTTTTATGTTGGTTGGGTCTTGGTCTCGATTCTTTAGCGCTCAGAGTTATTTTTTTTGTACTTTGGGTTCTTTTGGGTTCTTCAGTGTTTTTATCTTTGATTCTGTTGTATGTCTCTGCACGTAGGTCAAAGCACTTTGTAAAATCGTGTTTTCAAAAGTGCTACACAGATAAATGTTTTATTTATATTATTAAATTATTATTATAAAACACTGATTCAAACAACAAGATGCAATCCTTCACAGTTTGATCTGATACGACACAATACAGTTCTACATGATACGAGATGATATACTGTAATATACTGTATTATTTGCTCCACGGTATTTTTTATTTGTTTTGAAATCAAACATGTTAACGACTATCACATACTCATCACATCCACAGATAACACATTCTGAAAATGTTCATACTGAAATCTGACTGAAGCCTAGAAATCGGGATCGTATTCTCTGAATTTGACCTTTGTTGAATTCTTCACTTTGTAGACTTTTTTTTTCGAAATGGTCTAAACTGGATTCAATGTTAAACCTGCTAGGTCACTTCTCTCTTGTTAAGCCTCTCTCTCCCTCTCTCTCCCTCTCTCTCTCTCTCTCTCTCTCTCTCTCTCTCTCTCTCTCTCTCTGCGTTTTTGTTTTGAATTCCACCCTTCCTCCCCCTCCCCCGCTCTCCGTCTCTCTGCAGCCGCTGGAGCTGCTGTGGCACTCCCTGGACGAGTGGCTGGTGCTTATCTCCACAGAGCTGGACAGGAACAGGAAGAACCCATCCTCATCCTCCTCCAGCAGCGAGATCGCCTCCCTGCTCCTCAAACAGCGGGAGGCCGACCCCTCCGCCTCCGCCTCGGCGCCGAAGCTCCCGTCCCTGCTGGACCCTCAGATCGTCATGGAAACAGAGGTGTACCCCGACGGGGAGGACGTGATCTCCATGACGGCCAATCGTCTCAGTGCGGTGATCCAGGCCTTCTACATGTGCTGTTCCTGCCAGATGCCGCAGGGGTCAGATCTCATACTGTTTGGTTACCACGGCAACAAAAATAGAAGTAGTTGGCAAACAATAGTTGGGTGTTTTCTTGTGGTGTTTTTAGTTTTTCAAGGTTTATTTTTGTGCTTTTTAGGCGTTTATTAGAGAGACAGAAGAGTGGGTAGAGTCAGAAATCAGGCAGAGAGAAGGAACAGGTCGGACTCGAACCCGGGCCACCCTGGTGGAGCACTACAGCCTCCGTACATAGGGCGTGTGCGCTAACCAGTAGGCTAACGGCACCCCCACATTCTTGTTTTTAAATACCTTGTTTTTTAAGGAGGTGTAAGCACATCCAACTATCTCAAGGTTGACGAACGATTACTTAAAAAGAAAGAAATCCTGCACACTACTCCTGCTAAGTATCACCAATTAAGTAGAAAAATCACAACGTTTTGGTGCATCTGAACCTTTGTGAATTGTGTTCTCAAACAATTCCCCACCACCATGTTCTCAAGTAGTTATTTTAAGCAGATTTCTGCAAACTGTCTAGATTGCACAAATGCATCGGCAACATTTAATTACCAATGTATTGTAAGTGTTTCCAATGTATTTGTGCACTTTAGACCGCACGGCAGAGAACTAGTGGAGACGAAGGCCGAGCTTTTGTCTGGGCTAAAAAGTTGCACTTGAACGCACCGCAAAGACTACAGCCGACAGCCAACCACCACGTACGATCTGCTCATGTGTGAGAGAAAATAACTCTCCATGCCAGCAGGGGGCGGTAGTCCATTATTATGATACGAGAAGACCATTTTCACACCGCTGTCAGTGACCTCTCGTATTATAGGTCGCCTACGAATCAAGAATAATGTCTGATAAAAAGTAGAAAATGGCGCTGGTGTTGTCAGCTCTTGGTCTTTTAGTGGAAAAAGAAAAGAAGAGGAGGAGGAGACAAATAAAGAGAAACCACACTAATGGGTGAAAGCATGGATACTACAGAGCCATGCTCAAGGGGCTTTAGAGAACCTGAGAGGAGAACCCGAGAGAAATGAAACCTCCCAACAGCCAATCAGAGAGATTCCTTCAGATCGAAAGGAACGATTAAAAAAGTGAAGATGTTGTCACTGTTGTCCGTATCTTCTCCTTCTCACTCGCTCCTCCTCTCTCTCTCTCTCTCTCTCTCTCCCCTCAGAATGACATCCCCTCGTTTTATCGAGTTCGTCTGCAATCACGACGAGGTGCTGAAGTGTTTTGTAACCAGGTGAGTCAGCGTGGCTCGGCGCCCATCCTTCAGCCTCCTCCTCACACACACAGAGCCCCAGAGACGGACTGACTATTGATCCACAAACTTCCCTCCACTTAGTTTGTTTCCACTTCTAACCTCTTTGTTCTCTCTCCCTTCCGCCTGTCTAGTTTCTCTTTTTTATCTCTGTGCCTTTCTCCGTTTCAGGAATCCAAAGATCATCTTTAACCACTTCCACTTCCTGCTGGAGTGTCCTGAGCTGATGTCACGTTTCATGCATATCATAAAGGGACAGGTAAGACACAAGGACATATTTAATTCAATGTGTTCAGGGACTTCATGTGGAAGTACCTGATGTGGAAACTTAATCGAGCTCGTGGTTTGCTCCATAACGTCTTTGTATAACATCTTCAGTATTTCAGAAACGCTGTGAGATCATAATTTTACATTTTGCACAATCTGAAGGATTGAACTGATTAGAAAAATCATGTCTGAAGACTAAAGTTTACTAAAACTTCATGTGCATTTCCAGTTCAGTGAATGCAACATCTGTGCTAAAATCCAAACTGTTTCAGTCTGAGAGAACAGAGCGGTCTGTGATCGATTAGTGGACAGTCTCTGGTTTGATTTTGGGGTCATGTATTCAGTCAGATAAAACGGTCAAGAGCTCAAATTTGTTCATTCTTTGATTTTTTTTTGATACCACATGTTTTCAAACGAGACAAACTCGACAATCAAAGATTCCCCAAACCTCCCTCAGCTCAGTGTGCACCATCGATCCTAGATAGATATCACACCCATTTCAAATCCTAACATTCAACTCTATAAGTCTAAATGATGGACCCTGCAGTGCGGCTAGTCTACCTAAATGATTGTGCCACAGATGGACAGAGGGGGCGCTTCCATTCTGAAATGATTAACTAGCCTTTTGGCATCAGTGAAGTCTGAAAACTTCACAGTCACCTTTTAACCCAAAGCTTGTTTGAGTGAAAGAGAGAGCTGTGACTAGATTGCACAAATATGTTGCAAATAATTATGTGCAATTTAGTAAGAGTGCAGGAGTGTGCCTTCAACTTATGGTAAAGAAAAAGAAGAAATTATTCAATATCGGGTACTAGAGCTCGGAATCTTTGGACGACTGACGATTAGATTTGATTCTGATTCTTGGGGTCACGATTTGATTGAGAATCTATTTTTGATTCAAAAGGATTCATGATTCAAAGTTTATTTTTGAATTGGTCCTTCAGGATCTACTCCAGTCATCTGTGAGACTGACTGAACTTCTTGCTGCTCCATTTGGTATTCTACTGAGTTAAAGAGCTAGCATTAGCATTTAGCGGGGAGTGACTGATTAGCTAAAATGTTTTATATTTTTTGGAAGTTATGAGTCGATTTAAAATCTCAGAAGATAAGAATCTCGATTTTTACATAGATAGATTTTTCCCCACCTCTATCAAGTACACATGGTTTCTATTTTCCTTCAAATCCAGAACCGATATCGTTGATTTTTACTGGAATTGTATTGAAGTTTAATATTTTGGTAACACAGTCAAACTGAGACTCGACATGCATGAAAACTGAAACTGTTCTTTTGGCTGAGCAATCAAACCACAGTTATAATTCCAGTTAAATATTCTCGCTCTTTTTTTTTTCCCTCTCTAAGCGTATCCTGAGTCACTTCCTGCATATTTCAGCTCCCATAGTGAAAACGACCCTGCACTCCTCCTCCTCCTCCTCCTGAAGTCGTTACCTGCCTCCTCGTCCTCTGCTCCGACGGCTCCTTCACAGTCGTCCGTGTTTCTTTATGTTTGTGGACTTTTATGGAAACGACTTTGAAAGTCCTCCGTCTTTCTCCTCGGGATCATTTAACAAAGTTACAACCAACGGCGATAACACTTGTCTTAAGTTCCATTTACACGGCTTCATAAATTTTAAGTGCAGCTCGTGCGTTGTGCGCCCCGTCTCTGTCTCTCTCTCTCTCTCTCACTCGTCGCTCTTCACATTGGAGCTGCGGCGTTCGAGCCTCGTTACCTCGTGGATTATGGCTCGCCTGGGAGAAGGCCCGTGTTTTAATTACAGACTTTAACCTGTGAATTTGATTCCTTCTGCTGATTCGTCTCTCTGTACGCCCGCAGCCCCCGGGGGAGGAGGAGGAGGAGGGGGAAGCGGTTCTCTCTCTCTCTTCCACGTTCATCCTTCACTCTACCTCCAACGCGCGCAGAACAAAGGCATATATTATGCAAATAGACCCCATGCCTCAGCTCGCTGTTACAGACGAGGGATTCTGCTCTGAAAGCTTTCCAAAGCCGTCTGTTGAAACGGAAAAAAAAACTCAGAGTGTGAGGAGTTGAAAGCACAAGTGAAGTGGTAATTAGTGGAGGGAAAGTGCTGCGCAGTGTGGGATGAAGTTCTTGTGTTTTTTTTTGTTTTTTTTTACCTCCTCAGCCCTTCAAGGATCGCTGTGAGTGGTTCTACGAGCATCTGCTGGCCGGCCAGCCCGACTCCGACATGGTTCACCGTCCGGTCAACGAGAACGACATCCTGCTCATCCACAGAGGTACACAACATGTCGGGCAGCACCGCTCAACGCTCGCACTGCTCATCATGCGTGGAGAGAACATGATGTCAGAGTCCGGTCACACATGTACTTTACAGACAGATGTTGTGATCCTCTCTGAAAGCTTCAAATCCAAGCTGCTTCTTAAAGAGTGGAGTGGAAATAAAGTATTTAAAACCTTAGTTTTGTATACTTAGGGAGGCAGAAGCTCAGTCTGTAGAGAGGGTTGCCGGTTCAAGTCCCTGTGCAGGTCAACTCTGGAATTGGTCTAGTAGCTGGAGAGGTGCCGGGCAGTGTTAATCTTGTCAATTAAATAAATGACGAAAATATTCGTTAGTCAACTGAGACGATGACGAGATGAAACTCCGCTATTTGACGATTTAATAAATGATATTACTTCATCATCTAATTGACGAAAATGTGACGAAACAAAAACTACATTACAAGTGAGGATTATCACTTGATAAAGAAGTGTTACACCCCCTCAGCTGTTCTAAAACCATTGTAAACCATAGCAGACTTCATCAAAGGTGTGTGTGTGTGTGTGGTGAGTGTAACAATGTGTAGCCTGGAGTCTGGAGCCTCTCGCCTGCAGGTCCGTGAAGCCCCGCCCCCTGGAGCTTCTGATAATGAAAATAAAAGCTTGCGTCTCATTTCGTCGACTAAAATGATGTGCAATTTTAGTCGGTGACTATTTGACTAAATTAAATCAATAACAAATGACTAATATCTGAATAAATATAAAAGACATTTTCGTCAGGAGACTATGACTAAATTAGAAAATGGTGTGAAGATAAACACTGGTGCCTTCCTGAGCACTGCTGAGGTGCACTTGAGCAAGGCACAGAACCCCAAACAGCTCGGGTACTCCTTCATGTGCAGCCCCCCCCTCCCCCTCCCCCCTCCCCCTCCTGTCCACAGGATCCTGTTTGTGCAACAACAGAGTGTAAAAGTAATTCCCCTTGTGGGATTAATAAAGTTTATAAAAATGTTTACATAAGTAATCGGTACTTTGGCCTTGCTCCATTTGAAGACTTGTTGTATTTTATTTATTTATTTGTAAATTTATTTCATTCAAACAAACAATAAAGTTAAGAAAAACAAACAAACATAAAATCTCAAATTTTGAATGAAAAGGAGCAGAAAGAAGATTAATCTTATAATATCTGCCACCTCTTTCATAAAGCATTAATTAAAACAAAACACTTCTACCAGCACCGGGGGGGGGGGGGGGGTCTATAATGTTAACCCAACTCAAAGTTCTTGTTTTTGTCCCTGATTGTTATTCTAAGAGTGTAACAACATAACAGAAAGCATCCCTGAACATTAATCCATCCCGAGCACTGAGCAACAATTAGCAAAGTTACAAGAACAAACTTCCTTTAAGAGGCAGAAACCTGGAGCAGAACCAGACTCATGATGAACAGCTGAGACTGCTGAATGAGAGGGAGAGACACTAACAGAGCAACCTGTCCACCTAGCGTTTTTTCCGGGCAGAAGAGCGTTGTCTGTGTGCTCGAGGGTATTTACATGAAGTGTTTGTGCTCTGAGAAGAAAAGCGCTGCAAGTCTGTCCTGTCTCTATGACAACAGTTTGTTTACAAGAGATCGTTTATTTCCCGAGCAGACACGGAGCAAAGAGGATGTCGGTAGAAGACACGATCCATAGGAGGCTTAACTACAGGGAATATAGAGCACCCGTGACGTCAACAGCGCCTTTCTGAAAAATTGAAAGATTTTCAACTTGAACGCTCAGAGCAGCCGCACAAAAACGGCAGAGCGCTAGGCTTTTCATCCAGACGGTTGCTTTCTGCTGTGAAACGTGTCTATTGTCTTACTATTTTGCTGTCTTTATTTTTTTTATTTTTTACTGTGTTTTGGAGTTGTTGTCCTGACCTTGTCTGTTTGTTATGTGTATGTCACCAGTTTGTCACTCTATTGCATCGAATACAAAAAACAAGTGAAAAAAGACGCTGAGAAAAAAACGCTAAGTGGACACGGGGCCTAATATAGATTTATAGCTACAATGTCAGTAATAATGATAAAAGTCTGTGTAGTGTTAGCATTAACAGCTAAGTATGGAAACGTCCTGATCCTCCTAATATTACCATGAGCAACTGTAACAAGAAGCGAAGGATCCTTCAGGAGAGTGATACTAAGGATATATGTTCCTGTTTCTCTGTCAGACTCTATCTTCAGTAGCAGCTGTGAGATGGTTTCAAAGTCCACCAACGAGAAGCTCAAACAGGGCATCGCTGTCCGGTTCCACGGAGAGGAGGGCATGGTGGGTTCTGCATCCTGTGTCTCTGTGTCATTACATGAAGCTCCTTCAGTGTCACAGTTAATCCTCAGCTGTGATCCCGTGGTTGTTTTGTGTTTCAGGGTCAGGGTGTGGTGCGGGAGTGGTTCGACATCCTGTCCAATGAGATCATTAATCCTGACTACGGACTGTTCACGCAGTCAGCTGACGGTACGAGAAGTTCTCCTCAACGTCTGTGTGTGTGCGTGTGTGTGTGTTTTCAAAAATGCACAAAACTCCTAAAATTGTCTAGAAATCTCTCATGTTTAAAAACTGTGTGTGTGATTTATCCACAGGCACCACTTTCCAGCCCAACAGTAACTCGTCAGTGAACCCAGACCACCTGAACTACTTCAGGTTTGCGGGTCAGATCCTGGGTCTGGCTCTGTATCACAGACAGCTGGTCAACATCTACTTCACCCGCTCCTTCTACAAACACATACTGGGTAAGAAGAACACACCTGATGACAGACGAGGGTTAGAGCAGTGTGAAGGTCTCAGGCCGGTCTCAGCAGACGTCTGTTCTCCAACGAGTCGAGGTGTCTGTCTGACCTGAAAGATGTAAAACGAAGTGTGCTTTGAATTATTATTTTCTTAATTCCGTATCACTCCGTATAAATCAGGACTGGAGCGGAAATATTAGCCTATGTCACAAGAACATCTCTGCTTTCATTAAATTAAAGGTGACATATTCTCCTCCTTTTCAAAAAGTGTAAATAAGTCTCAGAGCTCCTCAAAACATGTGTGAAGTTTCTTGTTCTGAATCCACTCTGATCCTGTATTTGATCATGTCTATAAACTCCTCTATTTCAGCCCTGCTCAGAACAGGCTGTTTCTGTGTCTGTACCTTTAAATATGTAAATGAGCTGTGTCTGACCACGCCCCCTCTCTGGAAGGGCTCAGGCTTTCTCGCTC